AGGACAGCAGATTGACAGGAAGAAGCAAGCATAGAACCTTTTGATAAAGATACATAAGTGAGCCACTCATCCCGTGGGTTATAGGAGAGCGTAATTTGAGCAGTTTGGTGATCGAGACTAGCTGATAGAGGAAGAAACTCTGCATCCACCATGTCACTCATGGCTCCGGAGAGTATATCAACAACCTATCATGAAAATATCCAATCAGAGAACCATCTACCTGGGGACAGTCGAAACCCGCTAGCAGCGATGAAACAGCAGCTAGCAAGACGTCGGCAGAAAGGGTTGCCAATTTGTTGCCTGTTTCGCATTGATTTTTGTCATGATGACTTAAGCCAAAAGAATTTTGCTCGCGAACCGCTAAAGGATCTAAGGGAGCTTCTTGGCTCGTGGCACCCCTCACGTCATCATGATCGACAAGGCACCTGGTTAAAGATATATAATTAATTGCCAGCTAATAAGGGTGAGTATAATATTGGGTATCATTATTGTATATGTCGATAGTCAACTCACTTGTGTAATGAGATGGCTGTATTCACAAGCTCAACAATCTTCCCCAAGTCTCGTAAGTGCTGCGAAACACGGGGACTGGAGGCATCCGAACCTGTTAATCTGCCTACTAACAAGGCAATTAGCCCACCTGATGACGATAGAGAGGTTTCCCGTGAAGTATTAGCATCATCACGGTATAGAAATGGTTGCGAACCTGAAGAAATAGAGCCAACAACGGAGGCAAAGGGGTGTTTGTTTGAGGAAATGTATTGACGGGTTTTGGATACAAACATTGCTGATTCAGAAGTAAAATATACTGATGGATCTATGAGAGGAAATGAAAATCCCGAAAGAACTTTAGCCCTGGAAGATAGTTCTGTCCATTTAGATGAAAAAGAGAGAGAGAGCTTCATTTTAGTGGAGATATCGAGGGCGTGCAGGAGGTAACGGGGGAAGCGGAGGGTGAGGGTATTCCGCAAGATAGCTTCTAAAGATTAGGCCGTGAAGATCAAGTTCGTTCCAGCGTTCGTTGGGCCAATCACCGGAGGGAACGGAGCCAAATCTTCGTTGATTAACGAATGCCTCAGGGTCAGAATCAGATTCCGGAAGTTGATTCGGTTTAATCAAGATATTTTCGTGGGGCAAAACGTCACTCCGCCAATCTTCGTCGACTACGTCTATCAAGTAGCCGTCAAAGTAGTATTCGCCATCAGACATGAGGCGCTGAGCGCGGGAAGCATGGGAGCTTGATTTGTCTGAAACAGTAGGATGAGAAAACTATAGTAAATTGTTTATCCTGTACTAACACACCTATCAGGAGAATTATTTAAAATAATTTAATAAGTCAAAGAGTAAATATCGGACATTAGGTTACATCGTAATACCCCTCCAGGGATTTTTATTTTATGAATGTGTCATTTTATATTTTCGAAAACACACAAGGTTCAATTTAGCCAACCATTTAATTTTTAACACAGCAGGAAAACTTAGACTCAGATCCTTACAT